TCTCTGTCTCTGTCTCTTTCTCTTTCTTGTTACTTGTATATATGCATATATGTATATTGAATATATATATATATATATATATATATTATATATATATATATATATATATATATATATATATATATATATACATAGGGGACAGAAGGTTCAACAGAAGCCAGTTCAGACTAAAACCCCTTCATGCCTTCCCTCCAGTACGCTTCTGTTCCCTCCGCTGCACCGCAAGGATACTGACCTCTGAAACCCTATAGCCCCCATACCCCCCCCCCCCACGTCTTCCGACCACCATCCTCACCGCCCTTTCCCGCCCATCCCGCCCGCCGCCCGCCTCAAGCCCATCCCGCCCGCCTCAGCCACCTCCTTTTTCCTATAGTCCTACGACCACCGAATCTTTCATCCTCGTGTTTTTGTTACTTATCTTACTCTATTTTACGTATTTGTTGATTTACTTACTTATCTACTTGTTTGTTGGTTTGTTTGTCATTATGGTCTTTGTTATTATCATTATCGTCATTAGTATTATTACTGTTCCTATCTTTATTATAATATATGTTCCTTTTCTACTTGTTTTTTCTTTGTGAACTTTTCTACTTGTTTATGATTTTTTGTACATGAATGTGTAGCTTTTGTAACATATGCTTTTGTACCAGGATAATTTTCGCATTTGATCACGTGACCCAGGACCCCACAGCTGTTGTACCTGTAACAGCACACTACATGGTACGTTCACTCAGTTCCTATAAGCGATAAAGAGTAATTTTGTGGGATTCATTATTTTCTTATTATGTGTACTTCTTCTCTTTCGTGGAATTTCTACTTTTCCCTTTTTTCTCTCCTCGCTCGCTCTCTCTCTCTCTCTTGCCCTTATTTTTTTCTTACCCTTTGCTTGTTCCGATTTTTTTTCTTTTATTCCCGGAAATATCATGTATCGTTTTATCTTTTTTCTTTTGTTGTTCTTTCGTTATCTTTTTTCTTCATTCTTCTTCTTCCTTTGCGTTCTCCGATTCAATTTCTTAACCTAATTTATTATCTCTTTTCATCAATTTCTTCTTTTCACTGTTCACGACATATTTTTTGTATCTTATGAACGGTTCTCTTTTTCTCTCTTTATCAATCGGTTATCTCATCTATAATATTTTTCTCCTTTGTGCTTTTCTCTTTTTTAAAACATGTATTTCCAATATTTGTCTCTTTTTCTCTTATCACGCATTCTCTTGTGTCTCTATATTTCTTCTCTTTTTCGTCTTCTTTCTCCATCTTTCATTTTTTTGTGATGTTTCTCTCTCGTCTTTTTTCTCTCTCTATCCATTAGTATTTTTTTTACACATCAATAAAATCACGTTTTGAAAAAAAGGTTAAAGACAAACGGTTGAGTCCGTAAGAATATAAAAAAACTGGTCAGTTATTCAACTTGTATTTTACATTTTTCTTTTATATTTTCTACTGTTTCATCTATTTTTTTCTGCGTTACATTTTCGTTTTCTCGCCTCCTTTGTATTTCTCTTTCTCTTTATTTTCATTTACTCATGCTTTCCTCTCTTCGTTTCTTTCCTCAAGGCTCCGTTAATTTCCCGTTATTATCCGTGCATCCTTTCTATCTTCATTCTTCTCTTTCTGTTATTTCAATATTTTCCTGCATTTATTATTATCGCGATTATTATCGTTGTTCTTATCATTATCATCATCATTACTTCTTTCTTTGTACATCATACTAATCATAAACTATTTTCCCTATTTTCTTTTGCGTTTGCTCATATCTTTTTTTTCTTTCTTCGAATCTGTTCTACCTTCTTCGTCTTCTGTTTTTTTTCCATCTCTACTGCAAATATTTTCCGGGAATTTCCCCAGCGGTCGAGGGTGGGACGAAGGGCAAGTGGGGGGGGGGTAAAAGGTCTAGGGAGGAATGGCGAAAGGAGAGGAGGGGGGGGGGGGTAGGAGCAGACGAAGGAGAGATTGAAAAGGAGGGGAAGGGAATAAAGAGATAGGAGGGGCGGGGGGGGAAGAGAGCGAGCAAAGGAGAGGGAGGAGGAGGTAGATGTATGGAGGGACGGAGGCAGGGCGAGGGAGAGGAGCGAATGAGAGAGAAAGGGAACAGGAAGGAGGAAGAGAAAAAAAAAGCAAGAGACATGGAAAAGGGGAAAGAGGAACGAGAAGAAAGCGAGAGATGGAGGAGGAAGAGAATGTGATGAGTCAAAGCGATGGGGCGGAGTTAAACTACAGCTTTGCCCAGTCCTTTGGCTACACGTCAGACTCCGAACGGAAAGGCTCAACATATTTACTGACTAAAAAAACAACAACAAAGAAACTCCAGCATTTAGTTTATACTATGTGTGTCTTCATATTGTATTGTTTGTTTGTATTGCTGGAAAATGTCAGTGCAAAAGAACACTGACAGAATTCACACACACACACATAACCCCTTATTATAACGCAATGACTGGGCCTTAAAGCAACTAAAAGGCAGATACGGGTGGATGGTACTAAATATATATATACATACACACACACACACACACACACACACACGCACACAC